ATCAAAATTATTTTTATACAAAAAAAATTATAGAAAAAATTGAGCACATCTATAATTCTATACTTACATTATTATTAAAAATATGGATAATATTGTGGAACTTTTTTTTTGACTAAAATCAAGGTTTTAACAACTGATACAGAAATCAAGGTTTTTATTTTGAACGATAGATTAGTATTAGGTTAAAAGTCCACCATATATATAAATTATTATGAGACGGGAGTGTGAGAGTTTGAGAAAGAGACGACTGGTTAAAGCTAAGAAAGAAGAAGAAGAAGAAGAAGAAGAAGAAGAAGAAGAAGAAAAGGGAGTGTCATCGGAGGTGGTTGCCACCATGTTCATCAATTGTTGTTGCAGAATCATTTTTCCTTGAGAAGAAGAAGAAAAAACTGGCACAGGCGGCTATCTCCATGTTCATCATGACCATCGTTACAAAACCATTTGCCCTCTTCTTACATCTCTTTCATCTTTTTAAATCTCCCTCAGATCCCAAATCGTTTGCTTCATTGGTGTATCTTAGATTTTAATATAAGATTGGTGCTTAATCTTCCATTTATTGCATCAAATTTTTCGATTTTTTTATTGGAGTTGCATTTTTTTTTTTGCTGTTACAACTTAAAAAGAATCACAAAAAATGAGAAAACTCAAAATCAAAATGGAAAAAATAAAAATCCTAACTAATTTTGGCCATCAGTAACAATCGAACAAGCTTATGAGATATGGAAGTTTCTTTTTTCAATTTTTTATTTTAAAATAAATAAAAATTTTGGAAATAATTTGAAAGCAACCCAAGAACGTTATTCGAGTTAAACATTTTAACAGTTAAATCGTTCGGTTTAGCAATTCGTTGATCATTTCAAAAGTTTTTTTTTTTTTTTTTTGTAAAATAGTGGTTTAGGGCCAAAATGGAATTGGTGACCTGACTGGTTCCGAGTCCAAACGGTTTCATTGTCCAGACTAGTCTGGTTTTTAAAAAAGTAACTAAAATACTCATTGTCCAAACAGTTTCATTGTCCAATTCCCTCTATTTAAATTTTATATTTTTTTGATAAATGAACAAAAGAAAAAAGATACACCAAAAAGATAAAACACTACAAAAAGAATAGTTTAACCAAGTATGTTGGCCTATCAATGATACTTGAAACTTCACAATTTGATTCGATTATCATATATTTGGATGGGGTGTTTATGTAATCATATTTGAATTTTGCAATCTGCATCTGATTAATAATAAAAAGTAAAAAAAAAAGTAACAACAAAGAATAAAAAATACATAAAGTTAATAGAAAATTTTGGATATATTATTACTATAATTATCATCATCTAGAATTGCCACATGCAAACCCTTTATTTCTTTGTTCGAGAAAGGGTATAAAAGTCATTTTATTATAGTTTTAATGCTAGCTTTAATGGCAACTAAAGTGCTTATACTTTTGTATTTAATCCATTTCTAATTGTAAGGGTTGAAAATGTAATTTTAATTATTACTTAAGGTATTAAATCTCATTTTCTCTTATTAAATCCTATATTTTTAAGTTATTATTCACTAATAATTCTACCAATTAGATTTATATCAATATTTTAAACAATATAAACCCATATATTTTAAAATTGACTAAAAAACAAAACCATTTTTATACAAGTGGTGGCTAAGCAATTCAACAATCTGAATCCAACTGATCAACGTACGATAGATAGGTAATAATTTTTTTAAATTTAAATAAATATAGAAAACTACAAAAAATTAGACACAGTTATGATGTTTTATTAAGTAAATTAAAAAAAATAAGTATAATAAACATATTTGTATTGATAATGAAAATGAAATACATAATTTAGAACTAACTAAAAATGAAATATAAAATTTAATAATAAATAGTTCAACTTTTGGGTTAAATGTGTAAACCTTTAATGTCGTAAATAAATAATAAAAATTAATAAAATATAAAAATACATAAATTTTTCAAAAAAAAAAACATTCAAGCACTTGTATAATATCATATATTTATCATATTAAATAAAAAGTGAGTGTGATACATAAGAATTATTTTTACATAGAAAAATAAAAAATTATAAAAAAAATTGAACACACCTATAATTCTATATTTACACTACCATTAAAAATATGACTAAAATTGTTGAACTTTCTTTTGACTAAAATACTCATTTTTGAATTTAGTTCCTGATGATGCTTGATCTGGTGCTCCCTGTGGGCTGACATATAGGACACCAAACTGAGTAGGTCGCCTAGCTGAGCTGCAAAAGAAGAGATCAAGGTGTCCTGGTTGCTTGAGGCCACTCTGATGCTTAAGTCTGCAAGCTGATGATTGATAGCAAGAAAGTTGGAGAGTGTGAGAGCTGAATCGCACATACCTTTCTTAGAAAATGGGACGCCTTTATATAGACGACGGTTGGCATGAGCTTTACGCACTACGTGGGAGATCCCTGGGAGGGCGTGACTTACCAGTTTGAAGTCCTCGAAGGTAGTTTCGCACACGGACTAGGCTTTTGTGCCTTATCTGATTGTCTTCGAAATGATTGTTGCAGGAGTTGACTTCTGGAGGACCCGGGAGTGATAAAACGCACATAGAGGAGGTCAGCAAGCACATCTTGTAGGTCGCCACATAGACCTTAGTTAGTTTGGTAAGTCCTTCGGGGGATGTCACTCCTCACGCCGAGGTCCCATGGACCAGTAATGACGAGGTACCATAGGTCAACCTTAGACGAGGTGCCGCTAGCCGCTCTCCCAAGGTTCTCGAGCTGTATACGAGGTGCTCGGACTGGTTCTGGGGTGCACCTCCTTGACTTAGTGAGATCCGCAACTGTTTGTGTGGCGTTGAGGTGTCATGTGGCAGTCCTGTTATGCCACGTTTCGGAATGTCATTGGAGGGCCAAATCACCCTTCATCAACCCCTATTTAATTGTAAGGTTTAAATTGTAGATTGAGCTACTATTTTTCACATCATTCAATTACCTCTATTTAAATCTTACAATTTTTTGATAAACGAACAAAAGAAAAAAGATACACCAATAAGAAAAAAAAAACACTACAAATAGAGTAGCAAAGTAAATAAGCCTCTTAATGATACTTGAAACTAAATAACTCGATCCAATTATCATATATTTGAATGATATTTATGTAATTCGATTTGGATTCTACAATTTACATTTAATTAATAATAAAAAGTAAAAAATAAAAAATACATAAAAATTGTAACAAATTTTGAATATATTATTATTATTATTATTATTATTATTATTATTATTATTATTATTATTATTATCAATAATTGTCATATGCAAAGTACTAATAATTAATAAAAATTGGCACGCACGCCCATGGGCTTAACCAGTGAGAGCGCGTTCATGTGATCATCGTTGTTGAATTTATTAATATCCGAAATGTAATTCCACAACATGAAAGACAGGGACATTAAACTAACCATCATCTCTGCATATGCAGCAGAATCCAAGCTTCCTACTAATATTTATTATATATGTACCACATGCTTTGAGTTTGCCCACCAAGAAATTCATGCAAATCATATATATGGAAAGAAATGGACAAATTTCATGTCCCTATTGGAACACAACTTTTTAATTCAGATTTCAGAGTAACTGTCATGGGTGAGGGTGATGATTCAGCTTTCAGATAAAGCTTTTTCTTTTGGAGTAAGGGGTATTACATAGAGTTCACATCTGCGCCCTCCTGCCGTTTATTAGGAATATTTCCGATGATAATATCAGATCTGATAATGTCATCATCGGAAGATATTCCCAATACAAGGCGGAGATGCGCTGTGGGACGTTGTGGGGCACCCTGTCGTAGGGCACAGATCTGAACTCTATTACATACTATAAGACGGAAATTGGAGGTTGGGCAGGTTGTACATGAGGTTCATTGGCGATACCACATAGGGTCATGAGATTTGTAGGGGTATCGAGTGAACATCTTGACACTTTGGGTCATTGGACTTTACCTTGTTCACCGGCCCAAGGGGATGAGACCGGATCTGTTCCTCACACATAGCACCTCACACCGACCTCACACCGTGCATTGGAAATATCTCCCGTATTTATGTGTTATTATTTACGGGAAATGTTCTCACTACATGGTGTGATGTGCTTGTAAGGTCATTGTGAAGCACCCTTTGTGAGGAGAAGACCCCAATTCCAAAGAGATGAGTCATATGCATTTGATGGCTGATGTGGGACGTTATTATTTGTTAAACAACCCTTAACATAGAAATCAAGTATAACTAGTCTGTGTTGTAATGACATATATTAAGTACCTCGGCATATAAGAGCTTTGAGCTGCATTCTACTTGTTCTACCAATAAACCCTAATTAGAGTTGCAAAGTTAACCGAGGGAGATGAGAGAAAGAAAAGGGTAAAATGTGGGCAGTGGGAAGAGAAAAATGTTTTTTTAAAAATAAAAATAAAAACATTTCATTTATAATGGAATTTATTAAAAAAAAAAACTATGCTGCCGAAAAGGCATGAAACTAGAAAGTTTTTGATCAATAGGGATGGCAAGGGCATGGGTTTGGAAAGGGTTTTTATAAATTTCACACCCTCCCTACCTCTCCAAACATGCTAACTTAAACCTGCATCCAAACTCTCTTCACACGTGAAAATATAAAACTATCCATAACCCTATCTTTCTCATATTTGAAAGTAGATGAATCCATTTTATAATCTGAATCTAATTTAAAAATAATAAACAAGTAAAACAACATGAATTAATATCAAAATATCTCGTTATTGAATTAAAATACATAAAAACTACACAAATTATCGATTATCCTTTAAATAAAACTCAAAACGTTATTAAATTCAACATATAGCAGAAAAAATCATATACCTACTAGCAAGTAGCAACAATATACGAGATGAAGAGTAATGGTTTTAACTTAATACAGTGATACCGTACTTCATAAAATCCAATATAAAAAGAACCCGCCCCGTCGGGGCAGGTAGGGCGGGCACCCGCACCCATCATAGTCGAACACTCTTATTTTCTGTTGATGGGACATTATGTTGTAATAATATCGACACGTGTTACAAGGAAACGACAGTAGACGGGAATTCTTGTCGCCTGTTGACACCCAAAAATTTCCCTCTCCCTGTGCCCGTAACACCACTCCAAACTCCAACACCAATGAAAGCTAATCCTCTACACGTGACCCAATCCAATCTGCCATTTCTCCCTCTGTAACTGCATTCCTTGGCTTCCCCTTTGTGCCAAAGCTCCGAGCCTTAACGCAAAAGAAAAGCCACCCCCATCAAAACAAAAACAAATCGGATTCCAATTTCCAAGCCACCGAATCTGTTTACTTCTTACCCTCAGATTTTACAGCTACTCACTCACCTCCCCTCCTTTGTTGATTGTTCATCATCAACAAAAAATATCTAACGTTCAGATGATGGCGATGGTTAAAGAGCATTCCCATGTGACCCATCTCGTCACCATGAAAATATCCTGATCGTGCCACGTTTGCTGCCTCTTCCACATCTATGTATATATATGGTGCACCTCAACATGGAATTGACGATTTGTCGCTCTTATTTCTCAAGGAGAAAACACAAAAACATCATATCATATTTGTTTGAGGCTGAGACTTTTGAGAGAGAGAGATACAGAATAGAGAAATACTACAACAGTGCAACAGAGATCCAGAGAGCTTATGTTCATGGAAGGTAGTAATCTAGTGGCGCCGTTCGTGTTGAAGACGTATCAGATGGTGAACGATCCGTCGACGGATTCGTTTATCGCTTGGGGAAAGGCCAACAACAGCTTCATCGTTATCGACCCGATTGATTTCTCGCAGAGGATCCTACCAGCATACTTTAAGCACAACAACTTCTCAAGCTTTGTTCGTCAGCTCAATACCTACGTAAGTATAACTAGTATATGTAATCTGCTAATATGAAGGTGTTGTTAATTGTTAAGCTAGACAGACGCGATAACACAGTTGCTTCTTTGTCATTTATCAGGGGTTCAGGAAGGTAGACCCAGATAGATGGGAATTCGCAAATGAGTCGTTCCTTCGGGGGCAGAAGCAGCTGCTGAGGAACATCGTCAGGAGGAAGAATAGCCGGAATAATTCGTACCAGCTGCACCCGAAGCAAGAGCAGGAGGAGGAGGAGGAAGAGGAGGAGGAGATACTGATGGAGATCGTGCGGTTGAAACAGGAGCAAAAGGCCCTAGACAAGGAGCTGGAAGGGATGAACAAGCGTTTACAGGCGACGGAGAGGAGGCCACAGCAAATGATGGCTTTTCTTTTCAAAGTGGTGGAGGACCCAGAACTTATTAGTCGAATAATGCTCGAAAATAGTACTATGCCCAAGCTTGTTTCTGAGAAGAAGAGACGTTTCATCACCTCATCATCACCCTCATCTCCCTCCTCCTCCTCCTCCGGAGGGCCCAATTCACCACTACCACCGCCACCGCCACCACCACCCCCGTCGATGACGAAGGAGGTCGGAAAAGGTACAGTAGTTAGACCAGTTCCATTACCAGCTATGGGCCTTGTCCAAAATACGTATAACCCATCGTCTTCATCGTCGAATACATGGTCATGGATGAACCAAAGAGTACCATTTCTTGGTCAGACGTCTCTAATTACACCAGACCCTTTCACTCCCTTCACTACTACCTCTGCTTCCGGCTCTGCAACTGCCATGAATTCATATCTGGCGGATCCTTATCCTGTTTACAGTAATCAACCGCACTTCTTGCCGGATTTGGGGGGCAGCGTACAGAAAACACCGCCTTACCCTTTCTCCCTCTTAGGTGGTGGCTTTTAGAGGCTTCGGAAGGTCACGATGACAGTGGATTCTCTCTCCCTTCTATGTACTTGTTTTTCATTTTTGCTTGTAGATTAAATCACTTTAAGTAAAAGAGATGATTGAATTACTTCTTTTTTTTTTTCCTTTTGTAATTCATGTAATTCTTTCTCCAGGTAAAATTGCATAAACTCGTTTTTTTTTGGAGAGAAAAAATTGGGCACCGTACCGAAAAATGGAGAGAAAAAGGTAAAAAGGTTAACAAAAACCTTTAGACATGTTTAGGAAGGATGGGGGAGATGAGAAGGTTGGGTCGTTGAACTTGGGAGTCTTGGTCTCTTTTTTCCCCAATTGGGGGTGTGTCGATATATGTTTCGTTGTGAGCACACACTGATCGCAAGGCAGAAGCTCTCTGACCTGTGAGGATGGACCTGGGACCCACCCACCTTTCCTACGCCCGAGATGTGCTGATTCTCCATATACGGGAGCAAAGAGGTGATGGGCCTGGCTTGGGCCTCTTAGTCAAGCCGCATGTGGCATCAAGATACCCATTGGATAGGAATCTTTGTAATTTGATCGCATTTATGAGGTGATTGGGTTTCCAATCTGAATGATGTGTAATTGGTCTCTCTCTGCACCTCTGCACCTGAGAAAGTGGTTTCTGAAGTGGGTATTCGGTTCCAACAAAACAGGGGAAATGGGCCTAGGCCTGAAATGCCAGATTCGAGTGAGAGTGAGAGGCATCTTGTCTTTTCACTTCTACGGGGGACAAATGAGCTTGGGCTCGTGCGTACAGCCACATGGGCTCTAGCGCAAGGCGGACATGTGTCCACCACTGCACCACCTGCTTGTCCTTTCTCCGCCCAATTCTTTCCACATAATCATCTTTGACGTATGAATGATGCAGGGTTGAATGATAGTACAGATAATACGTGGGTCAATCTTGGGGCGGTGGGGTCCAACAGAAATTGAACCAAATATTTTGAACCGTTCATTAGTAGGAGAAGTGATGGGTAATAATACAAAAAACGATAATCGAGGTGGTGCAACTTTTGGGGTGGAGAAAAAAGGGAAGGACAGTTGTCGGTGAACCTAACGAGGCCGCTTCGACGTGTTTTTCTTATTCTCCATCTCTCCATCTCTCCATCTGTTACATCATCAGCGCACGTGCGTTGATCTTTTAACTAACAAATTTCATTCCTCCCCAGGTGGCTTATCCTGGTCCCTGTTCCATTTTACCGGATTCTGTCAAAGATCCGGATTTTGGACCGATCAAATAAATATTAGGGAGCATGACCAATCAGCCCATATCAGAATTTTATAGCCACAAATTATAAAGTACAGGGGAATGTATCCTGACCGTGAATTAATACCAAATTCATGGACAGGATGTGGTTTAGAGGGGGCTAGAATTCATAATTTGTGGTATTTGTACTTCTTTCTAAATATTATGATTAGGGGTGCAAGTTGCGCAGGTTGAGCTGTTGAACCTAAAACTAGGATATAAGGCCCGAGTCCGGATCAAGTAATTTTTCCAATTTAAACACAACCTACACATGTATTCAGGTTGGGTTTGGATTCAGATAAGGTCAAACTAAACTTGAACTAGGTTCAAATTACCAAAGGGTTAGACTTAGGCTCAGCCCGAAAAGTATAAAAGCCCAAGTTCTTGGGCTTGAGCCCCGCTACAAAGATAAAAAAGGTTCAAAGTCAGGGTCTGAATCTAGCCTGAGGATTGTAAATCTAAGTCCAATCTGTATAAAATTTCAGGTTGGACCTGTGTAAATTACCCCTACCATGACCTCGTTTGTTTGTTTATTTTGAGGTGCATATTTAAATCAAGATTTTAAAAACCAACCTGGAAATGAAATTGTTTTAAGCATCGTTTTTCAGTTCGGCGGTTCAATTGTTCGGGTCAAACGGTTCGATTCATGATGTCATAAATAAATAAAAAATAAAAAATATTTATATATAATAAAAAATACCATAAATTTTTAAATAAAATATAAAAAAATATACAGACAAATACGAGAAAAAGAACAACATATAAAAAATAAAAAATATCTAAATATAAAAATAATAAAATACAGAAAATACAAAAGAATACAAAAAATTTTCCATGGCCATTACTAGATTTTAAACTTCAAGATTAAAGTTCAAACTATGGTATGCAGATGATTCATAGTTAGAGATCTCCACATGTTCTAAATTATCAAAAACATTTATATAACTCGCATGTAAAGTGGAAAATTTCTCAACCCAAGAAAAGAAAACTACAAAAAACATCCAACCCCTTGCATTCACCAAAATAAACAAAATATAGAGGTAAAACAAGAAAATGATCACATACCAAAGATGTTGATTCCAAGTTGGGCATAGATCAGAGAGAAAAATCCATTTACAAAATGTATAAACCACCATGTGATATAGAATGTAATTGCTATTGGAAATAGAATGACATCGGTAAGTGTGACAGTGGGTTCGCTGCCGGTGGGCTCAGGCAATTGGGCTTGGTCGCAAGCAAATTGTCGTTTGCAAGCCTGCAAGTGCTGTTCCAACTTGTAGACAGTGGGCTTGGTCGCCAAATGTCCAATGCCGAGTGTTGAGTGTCGTTGCCAAGTGCCAAGTGCCGTTGCGTCGTCTGCCGTTGAAAGTGCTAGTGAGTCTTTTCGTCGTTGGATGCCGCTACTGGTAAGGGTGAGTCTTTTCGTCGTCGGACGTTGCTGTAAGTGTTGGTGAGTCTTTTCGCTGCCGTAAGCTCGCCGGTCGGTGTGTGTCGCCGTTGGACGCCGGAGGTGATGGCCACCGCAGGTGGTCGGTCGGTAGGGTGTGAGGGTTGAGAGGAGGGAACTCGGGAAGGGTTAGAACTTCTAACCCTAAAGCCAAAGGGAGTAAGGGATTCGAACTAGGTTGGAATACAAAAGGTATTTTATTTTTTGTTTTTTTTGTTTATTTAAAACATTGAAAATAAAAATGCTAACCCACAAACCGCTGTCTGGGTTGAACGGTTTAGCAGTCCGACCACCCGAGTCAACGGTTTTCTGACCTTTTCAACGTTTTTAACAATTTCCGGTTTTTAGTAAAACCGGACCCGGGGGCTGACTGTTACTGATTTTTCCGGTCCGGTCCGGTTTTGAAAACCATGAATTAAACAGTATAAAGTTTTGAACCCGGTTTAATTTTGCATTTGTAATCATGATTTGTCAATAGGTCGAGTTTGGTTCTTACAAAAACCAGTTTTACATTTGTTTGTTTGTAGCCATTATTTAAATGGGATACAAATTTTTAGGTGGGCTTTACTACATAAACCAGTTCATTAGAGTTGTCAATAAATCGGGTCTGATTCATGATAAGGCAGATCGGGTCCGATTAATCAGGATAATCGGGAAAATCTGACATCTATATTTACATGGTATAGAAACTTAAAACATCACTTTTAATAATATATCTTTCAGTAAAAATGACAGTAAATAGTATTCTAATCCTAACCCAATTATAATCAAGACACAAAATTCATAACTTGATATAATTGGTTCGACCGATTTGATTCTGTGAAGTAGACCCGACCAATTGACGACTACTTTACTTTTGACAATCAGTAGTTCTGTACTTCGGAAGCTAAAATAACTTAGGGACTTGGGAGGCGATAAAGCAAAAAGTTATTTTCTATCCAATCAAACACATCATTATTTTAACAAGGGTAAAATACTTATACCTCCCTTGACGTTTTTGAAATGTGCTTAAACCTCCCCTCACTTTAGGTGTAAAAATTGCTTGTTGACCCCTTCTCTTAATTCTAGTGGATGGAGAGTGAAAAATTCCCAAATTAGTGACTACCTTTATGTGTTTACTAGAAAAGTTAARGTTTCATATTACCAAAATTACCCTTCTAGGATTATTCTGTCATCACTTGAAATAATTCCTGCTTAATTCCTCTTTTCCATTACTGCCACCCAACTCAATATTCTCAAGGATTCTATAAAAAACCCTAGAATACCTACTTGTTGAAGGTGATTTCACATAATTTTTTGTTTGATTTTTTTTTTAAGATTATAGAGGTAGTTTTTTTTTTTCATGCATTGAATACATTATTAACCTAAGCTTTTTGTGCTTTTTTATTCTTGATTTTTCTTGATCTATTGTTGTTTATACAGCAAACAGGGCGAGTAAAAGGTATATATAGATCGTACTTGATTGAGTCTAGAACAGATCATCATACCTTGTTTTGTTAGTGTTTATATAGGCAACTTTACGGTCTTCACTGTTTGTTTAATACCTGGCTCTACTCGTCAATGGAGGTCTGTGCAACGTTTAAAGGTGAGGGTAGGTTAAAGTACTTATCGGAAACGTTATGGGAGGTTTAAGTTTTTTACCCAAACATGATTCATGGGTATTATGGGTATTTTAAAAAAATGAGCAATAAATATGTATTTCTGTTAAGTTTTTTAAGTGCAACTAACAGAAGGGGCCAGTAAGCAACATTTACCCTAAAAGTGAGGGGAGGTCTTTGCAACTTTTAAAGGTGAGGGAAGATTTAAGTACAATTGAGAAATGCAGGGGAGGTTCAAGTATTTTACCCTTTTAACAAAGTTAAAAAAGAAAAACAACTTGGCCAAATGCATCCGATTCGAGATCTATCTCTTACACCAAAAAAACAAAAAATCACTGTATATCTAAAATGATTCTTCTTAAAATTTTGTCTAGAAAAGCATAAATGCTAGATTTGTTTTAGAATCTTTTACTTCTACTTTGGCAGCAATAATCACAACGAATTCTCCAGAGTAGTCAAAACAACAAAAAAGTTGAAACTTGAAAGCGTCTGTAAACGGAGACAAGAAAAAGGAATCAAGGAGAGTGATGAATTCAGGATTTAGTGAGCTAGATATTTGATCCCTATTCCTTAGTGAAAAGAAATTTAGCAGAAACCCAATGGCGAAGACAAACGCTCCACTGCCGTAGCAAAAGGAGCACCAATTTTACACTCTGTTTTGTTCCTAGTCTAGCTATCAGGGGGTTCGTCGAGGAGGTATCTTCGGCAGGTGCAGGTGTGAAGGACTGAAGGGGCCCTCACCCCTCAGTTGCGTATTGTTTGGCTTGATTTTTGCTTCCACGAGTTCATATTGTATAATTAACTACTTAAGAAAAT